TTTATTATTTTCATCTTTGAGAATGAGCGTTCGCATGTCACTTGTGAAACCGGCATTGTCATAGCATTTTTGACCATTAGTATTGTTTGTGGAAATGCAGTAGAATATGGAATTAATTCTTTTAAGAATTGAATAACATCATCGATTTTTTTCGTCTTGAACATTGATTTAATAACAGCAAATTCATTCTTTAAACTACTTGAATCAACATTAACATGACGACAAAATGCATCAACATCTTCACTATTCAAAAAGTTTTCACTTTCAGGATAGACAGTAGACATACTCTTCATTAATGCTAATGTTTTCGATGAAAATCTATCATTTAACTCTACCAACATACAATCAATCAAAGGAAAATAAATCTTATTCATAAAATCAGTTGATGTAGACAACATTTCACGTTGTCCAACAGTTGAATCAATAAAACAATCTTTAAATCGAGTTGGAATTTTTGTTTTACGATTTATATGATATTGTTGTACTAAATCAATTCCATTTGAATCACAAAATTGTTTTGCTTTATCATATATTTGTTTGTATGAATGTTCGTTACGAAGATCAGTTATTTGTTGAATAATTGATGTTACGAGATGTTCACCACGTACATAATCTAGAGAAGAGCCTTATGAAAGAAAAACAATAATAGTTTTTCTAGATTAAGAGTAAAAACAAAGATCTTACTCTTTAAATGATCACTCAATACTTTTATTAAACCAAATAGTTTATGAAGAATGAACGATGTGATAATAAAAATGGACTTTTTTACATGTGTTAAAAGTCCACCAGCATTAATTGAACGTTTTCCACCACCTTCTTCACTAATATCAGAAAGAGCATTGATAATTGCTGGATAATTATTAATAATGGCATCGATAGATTTCCATCGAGAATCCCATCTGGTCAAACCCCATAGTTTCAATGTCGAAGATTGATCTTAAATATCAGAAAAATAACAAAAAACATTTTATAAGATACAAGCATGATAATTACTTAAGTTTAATTCTTGTTGTGCTTTTTTAAAATATGTATTAGTTACACCAGATTCAGTAAAAAATGAATAAATATTTGAAAGAATTGAAAAATAATCTAGTATATAATAAACAACTTGACATGTACCATTAATAACAAGATTCAATCGATGAGCTGAACAGTGAATATATATTCCATGTGGCATATGTTCTTTTAATACAACATGAAGTCCAGCATGACACCCGGACATGACACTGGCACTATAAATATGAAGAACAGAAACAAAGTTCTTACTGCTTCTTAGTTTCATCAACGCAAAGACAATAACTCACCCGTCGAAACATAAAGAAATACATGTCTGTAAAGGAATATTAAGTTCATTTAAAAACTGAACAATCCTGATTGCTAATGCTGGTGCATCAAATTCTTGTAATGGAAGAAAACCAAGAAAATAGTCCTTTACTATATTTGAATAGTCATTCATATCAATATCTTGATCATGAACAAATCGAATTACAATAGATAGTTGTTGAGTGCCACTTATGTCTCGAGATTCGTCAGCCATTAATGTATAATTATGATTGTGTAGCTAAAAATACCAAAGTAATTTAATCCTAACAGAATAATACAATGTTAGCTCACCATAGATGAAATTTTTTCACGCACTTGATTAGCCATAATATGAATTAATTCATTTTGTATATCATGACTCAAGTAACTAGCGTTACCTGCAGAATCTTCTAAAACTGATTTTACTACAGGATCACTTGTTGCTGACCAACGAAGAAGTTCCATAAAATTACCTTGATTTGAACTTCTATAAATAACAGAAAACGAATGAAAAATATTTTTAAAAAGTTTTTAAAAAAATATACTGTGAATTTTCTCTGTGACCTCTAAAACTAATCATTTGACGTGCTAAAAAATGTAACGTTGAACATATTTTTATAAGACGATCACGATTTTTACGAATATGAATAACTCGACCAGCATCTAATTGATTAATAACACTTGAGTTATTTCGTTGTCGCAAAACATATGATTCGTAATTTTTGGTGGAAGTTATATGTAATTGTGATTGAGAATGTTTTAATAAACCACCATTAGTTTCTAAAGATCTCTTCCAATTGTTGAATCCAGTTGTGGTAAAAGCATCGTAATTAATCGATCGATTGCAAGAAAAATAACGACAATAATAACAATAACACATATCGTTTTTTATAGAATATTCCAACCAAGGTCTTTCTTTATACCAACTTGATTGAAATGAACGTTTATCAGCATTGTTTGGATAAGTTGTCAATTTTGGCTGAGCAGGAAGATCATTACATGATTTACTAATATCATCAGGAGTAGATTTTACTTGAACAGTGTTGTTTGAAGGACCACAGATAAGAGATGATGATGGAGTGACAAAATTAACATCTGATGTACCTTTTTGATTATCAGAAGAAGAAGAAAGATTTTGAGAATCAAATGATGATAATTGAATGGTAGAATTAACGTCAGATACATTTGGATTAGCAGATGATGAAGAAAGAAGATGTTCAGATTCATATGATGATGATGATGAATTAATAACATTCAGTTCTATTTCTCCTTCATTTGTACTTGTACGTGGCTTCTTTGTAAATGAATGAAAATAAGACTCAATTGTTCTACGTTTTTCAGGCTGCATTTCAGAAGATTGTATTTTACTTTAATTAATTTTTTGGTGTGATTATTAATAGTCAACCAATAGAAAATAATTAATGAAAATGTTTTACAGCAGCAGAAAAAAAA